TACTTACTTACTTACTTACGTTACTACTACTTACTACTTACTTACTTACGTACTACTTACTACTACTACTACTACTACTACTACTACTCTCTCTCTCTCTCTCTCTCTCTCTCTCTCTCTCTCTCTCTCTCTCTCTCTCTCTCTCTCTCTCTCTCTCTCTCTCTCTCTCTCTCTCTCTCTCTCTCTCTCTCTCTCGCAAAAACAAAACACACAAAAAAAGAAGAAAAGAGTCCCTCCCTCCCTCTCCCACACACACAAAAAAAAGAAAAGAGAGACTACAGGAATCGAAAATATCAAATGTGATAACTAAGAAAAGATTTGTATACATAGCTTATATATCATAACAAGGAATTGCGAAATTCTTTTTCTTTTTTTTTCAATGACAAATACCAACAAATTTTCCTGTTTTTTTTTACATTGGCTGCCAACGCATTTTCTAGAAAGCCAACATTATTTTTTCTAGGTAACTAAAATGATGCATTAATAACTTATTTCAAAGTGCGAAATGGAATTTTAAATGCTTGATTCTCTATCATGCAACAGAAAATATAGAGGACATACTTAGTATTCTGGTGCATCCATTTTTCACTGAATATTGGAGAGAAGTAAAGAACAAATGTTTCTAGTTCTGGTAGGGGAGAGATAGGATTACCTCATATAGAACATATTTCACGGAAGGCTCAATCTTCATTTCCTCCTCGAGCTCAAACAAGTGAAGCTTCCCCTTCAGAAAAAAAAAGGGAAAATGTTAGCCCCCTTCCTGATAATTATGCAAAGGGTGTGGTTTGCAAAAGGTTGCAACCTTAAACAATCAAAGTAAGATGCACCCTCAATTTTGGTGTCAAATATTCTTCGAATGGAATGAGAATCTGTTTTTATCTCTATATAAAATTATAAACTCCAAAAGTAGTGCAAATCAAGCAGATATAGAGATGTATGAAAATCTTGAAGGGGACGGTCCAAATTATATATTACAAGATGTACTAGTCTTAAGACTTGAAATCTCTTTTTTCTCTATATATAAACATCTCAATGTGGAGATGATCAATTAGATGTTTTTCAACATCAAAACATCATTTCTCGAAGGATTTTAGTGGTGCACCTTAATTCTACATTTTCAGGTGTAAATATTAAATAACTTTTTCCTTATGCAAATGATTCTTGGAAGTAACAGTCCTCCAAACCACAGAAATATTATTATGGGATTCCACAAGATCGACAACTTTACAAACACAAAGTAGAGAATATAGATTAAATACACCTAAATTAAGTGTCAGGGTTGGTTTCAAGATTTGTGACAAGCAAAAAGTGATCCAAAATAGTCACGAAAAGTACAGATGAAACGGACTAATACCCTAATTTAGACCCACCTAATGGTTTTGGACTGGCACAAATCTGTCAAATTGGGGGATGCACATCTGAAATAACCCCATTGTGTAAAATTACTAGATTTCAAACAACACATACATGACAAGGAAATGGGAAGCCTAAAATCATTACCTGATATCATGCAACCATTTTTAAACCACAAGATAACTAGAGATGGTAAATCATGAATGCTACAAGAAATATGTCATTGTTTCTTTTACATATGCTTGCAAGAGATATTCATAAAACAAACAAAAATTCTATGACAGGAAATAAAGTTGGAATCAACACAGTTGGATGAAGAAGATTTCTATTACAAAAAAATAGGTTACTCAACTTACAGGGCAGAATTTCTTCAAGACCATAATTTCTCCACTGGAATCAATCTCATGCCTTGCTGCTAAGCAATCCATAACAATAGACCGTGCAGGCAACCAAGACCAAGCATGGAACTGAACATTCTGGAAAGAAAAAGCATTCTAATTTAGGTCACACACTTGTAACTCGTGCCACTCCAAACTGTAATTCTATAACAATTATATGGGTTTAAATAATTTAAAAACTTTAATATATGTTTTATAGAATGCTTCTACAATCAAACAAGTCACCATGAGAATGTAACAGGGAATAACTCTGTTGTGCAATTAAAAGCTTCACAAGGAAAACTTACGTCCATTAATTCACCACCGGCAAGTTCCATTGCACGTTGAAAGGCTTCATTTTCCTTCTCAGATGACTGATCTGGATATGTCCAATCCAGATTTAAACGGCCAACTCGTGAAGACAAGTGTGTTGTTTACATATTTTGGTGGCTGATCTGTGTCATATTGATTAATTCCATTGTCGATGGCATCAATTGCCTGAAAGAAGCACACACGAATAAATAACAATCAAGATGAAATCATAAAGTGGCCTCAAAACAATTCCATCACAGGCCCTGCTTTAAGAAGTTGACAGTAAGTTCTGCAAAGAACTCATACATGTCAATCAACACGTAACTTTTCATTCCAAGAAATTATATAGCTGGAGGTCTTGCACACGTCGATAGAAGTTACAAAAGAAATCAAACCAAAGAGTTTCAGCCAAGTACCATCTTATCATGTATCATGGAGTAATTACATGAAAAACCAGGGAACAGGAGACACCTTTATAAAGAGTACCGATACAAATCGAGTGATGAATGGATTAAAAAATAAACCGAAAAAATAAATAAATAAAGAAACCTCACGGTATCAAAATTTGCATTGGTTTATAAATTATTTTTGGGATTTAATCGAGGTTTCCATCTTTATATGAAAGGTCTTTAGAAGTCAAGATCATAGTTTTGGGGATCTTCCAACCAACAGCGATTTTTAAACTTTGAATTTCGATCTTTCCTATCAAGGATCGAGATCCTAAGTTACCGGGGATTAAGATTCCCCTAAAATTATAGTATAGTGTTGCAATTTAGTATAGTATAGACGTGTGGTATATAGTACTGTAGTATAATCTAGCTGTGTGGTGTAGAATATATTATATAGTTGTCTATCATCGTCATCATCTTAGCCTTATTTTGAACTATTTAGGGTCAGCTCATTTTACACTTGTATATAACAAATTTAAATACAATAGCATATAGTATAGTAATACAATATAGTATATGGCAAAGTATTGTAGTATAGCATAGCAACATAATATTGCAAAGCAGTGTAGAGTAGTGTAGTAGTGCTCTCAAGGGCCTTGATTTTAATCAAGTGGAGTTCGGTCATGTATAATACATTATTCAATCAGGATTAAGTTTACATCGAGCTCCCGCACTTGGGATCAAGATCCCCAGATTTCAGGATGCACAGACTGTGATCCCTACCATAGGGTGCTTCCTGTTTGTCACAATCCCGCTATCCCAGTCCTGATCCCGGATTAATTCCATTGCAATCCCAGTACCTAGGTCATGATGAGCACTTTCTACTTGGCTAGGTTTATCAGAACATTCATTATTAGTTCCGTATACACTTGGTTCTCCAACCGCTCTGCAATCGTGTCATGGATTTTATCTAAATTTATTCGGCTTCCTTGACTTAGAGATTGTTTTAAAGTTCTGATTAAATCAACATATTTGTCCAAGGAAAATGGAAGGGGATGATCATAAATCAAAAGATCTGTCTTTCACTATAGGTCATAATTTTGGATGGAAGGCACTTGCACAACATCAAACATTCGCATAAGCTATGTATTTAACTAAGTACATCTGGTGCCTGTAACAGAACTTGTATAGGAAATGTCAGGTTAAATGTCCTAGTATGATTATGTCTCAAGGCATCGAAATCCTCGTGCATAGCCTGCCATTATCAAAACTGCCATAAAATAGAGGAAAGATCAACCACCATTTTGAGTGGAATCTTATTACTTTGAAGAGAATGGTTGATGTGCATGATCTATATCAGTAGTTGCCATTCCACTAGAACCTAGAGGACATCCCTGAGAGTAAGTGGGAACATAAACAAGTGCATAGTGATTTCCCTTCAGGAATCACCACTGCCTATTTGTGTCATGGAATCCCATAATGCATTAAAAAAGGATAGAGTTTTTACTGTAAATTTGTTCATAGAAATCCAGTTATATCGCCTGCATGAAGAGGCATTACTATATCTCCTACAAGGGGCGCCTTCTCATTGAAACCAAAAACAAAAACAATTTAGCTGATGGTATCCCTCAACACCGGAAGCAAACAACCCGTCATAAGGTGTAAAAAATCTTTGGGAAAAATGACACTTAAAGAAATTATAATCAACATAAGAAAAAGGCTAAGGAAGACGTTTTCAAAGCCTGGGACTTATCGTACCATCTATGTGCTTCACCATGGATATTTACTACACTGTCCTGTCAGTTTTCATGTTGGCACAAATGATGAGCTTCCAGTGCATCAATAAACTATATTTTTGAACCCATGCATAAACATCATCATCCAAGTTTTATCCCAACTATTTGGGGTTGGCTACACGAATCATATTCGTCATATTGGTTCGGGATTTATGAAAAGATGTGGCGAAGTTTTACGCTGGCTGCCCACTTTAACCAACCTATCCTGGGCTTGGCCAAGAAAGCCACTTGGACAGCCAGGAGAAACAGGTAGTACTTTTATGAATAGAATCATGCACAACATGACCTTTAAGACTAGAAGTACCATAGATTCATTCAGGGGAAGCCCCATTTCCACTGTTTGGGCTCCACTGAACCAAGCAAGACAATAGACTATGACACATTCAAACAATTTACAAAATTCAGGTAAGAAAAGCCAATGAGACTTGCATTAAATAACATAGCTGCCATGAACCAACATCTGAGATAACAAAGGTGAATCCATTGAGAAAACAGAGGGAGGGAGAGAGCTTAGACATTCAACTAAATTAAAAACAGAAGTACAGAAATAATAAGCAACAGCATGCCTTTCATGAACACCATCCTCCAAGTTGACAGAAACAAAAGCCTCCACAACTCCCATTTACACGCCTGTTATTCAGTCCAATACTTCCCATCCTTTGCCTTCTCACCCCCTTCTCCATCACTCCCATCATCATCCTTCTTACTCTTCTTATTCATCCTAACATCTTCACAAGCCACACTCTTAAACAAGAGCAAATCAATAGCCCCCCTGTTATTCACTCCAATATTTCTCATCCTTTGGCTTCTCACCCCTTTCTCCATCACTCTCCCCATCATCCCTCTTACTCTTCTTATTCCTCCGAACATCTTCACAAGCCGCACTCCTAAACAAGGCCAAATCAACAGCCCCCGAAACCATACGATAACCCCTTCTCTGCAAATCCTCAGCCCCATCAAAACCTGTAGCGAAACCTGCCAAATAAGACCCACCTTTCAACCCCAAAACCCCTTTCTCAGCCTTAAACAAAACCTCTCGGGCCTTCTCAGAACCAGGATCTCTCAAAGAACCAACGCTTGCGCTCAAATCCAATGGCCCCATTTGAATGCAATCAACTCCATCAACCATTCCAATCTCGTCGATCTTCTTCACTCCCTCTTCGCTCTCGACTTGACACATTATGAGCAATTCATCCTCATATATGTCAAGGTAATCTTCTTGGATCCCATACTTTGACGCCCTAATTACAGGGTGGGCAGCCCCTCGAACCCCTTTTGGTGGATATTTACAGTAAGAGACTGCTTTTTTCGCAGCTTTAGGGGACTCGATCATGGGGAACATTATGCCTTGAGGGCCCACATCTAGGGCTTTCTTCGCCCAAGTTTGAGAGGATTCAGGAATTCGGATAATAGCCGGAGTTGCAGAGGAAGCTAGCGCTTGAAGAATTGGTAGGGCAGAGGAGATACCACCATAGCCATGCTCCAAGTCAATGACCGCAAAATCGTAGCCCGAGAAGCCTGCAATTTCAGCAAGAATCGGAGAGAAGCTCATGAGGAAGATGCCATAGAGTTGCTCACCAGCTGCGAGCCGGGCTTTTAGGGTTTTCGGGGCGGGGTTTGTGGCAGATGATAGGGAATTTTGTTGCTTTTTCCCGTGAGGTGTTAGAGTAAGAGATTCGAGGTTTGGCGTTGGAGAGTGATAACAGTTGATGGAGTTGGGAGGAGAGATTGGAGTCTTTTTGTAGGGTTTTAAAGAGGGAAAAGAAAGAAAGGATGGGGTATTTGATGCAGAGAGAAGACGAAAACCAGTAGAGTGAGAAAAAGAAAGAGAAGACGAAGAGAGAGAATAAGGATGGGTGATGGATAATGGAGCCCTGAAGGTGAGAGCCATGGCCTGCTTCGAACTAGGTATACCGGGCTTTTAATTTCGAAGCGCCTTAAATGGACCAGGAGACGTTGCACAATTATTTGAAAGGGCTGCAGCCCTATTTAAAAAAATAAAGCCTCCCCTCGTAACTCATCAAATATTGCCATTCAAATTTTGAAAAACCTTTAAATTGTCATCTCACCTTGAATGTTATAGTGAATGTTATGGTTGTGTAAAAATATTAAGATTTCAAATTCTAAAAATAGTATATATTGTAGCTAGACTATCTATTTCTCTCTAAATAAAGGTGTTTATAGATCCACAAGATTTGTATATTTTTTTAGTTTCAAAATTTATTGTCGGTGTTGAAAATTAATTTTAGAGCCAACAAGAAGATTGCCTATGTCAAAAATGCTTTTCAAAAGAGGATTTGAGATGAGGCTTTTTTTTTTTTTTTCATAAAGCTTAAGCCCGATAGAAACTTCATCCTTTATATTTTCCTGGAAATTTATTTATGGGAAAACTTATTTACCAAACGATTTTATGATTTTTAGAGCAAATTGTCTATTTACTCCCTCTAGCCAAGACGGTCTTTTTAGACCCCAAATTCTAGAGATGTATCCTCTACCACTTAGAAATTAACTCCACATAAAAATGAAAATTCTAATACACAATCTTTAAGCTGGAAAAATATTATCCCAATGATCATCGTCCATTTTTTGGACAAATATTAACGAGCTCAAAATCCCATTTCATTCTTTAGATATAATCATATGATAATATTTAAATAGATTTAAACATATTTCAAATTTTCAAATCCAAAAAGTTTTTTCAAGTTCATCTTTCACTCAAGGGGGCAAATGAACAATTTGCCCCTATGAGAGGTAACCTATTAGAGGGAAGTTTTTGTGTTCTATTTAATTATGGGTGCGGTTTGTATAGAGCCTAGGCTCTAAACAATCAAATTAGAGCCTACTTTCAAATAGTGTAGAGAAATATAATTTTAATATTGGAAATCTTTGTAATAGCCTTAAAATATATTTTCATCTTTATTTATAAATTTTAGAGCTTCAAAAATAGCGTCGATCGACATATCTATGACAACTTGAAAATTTTGAAAATTGATGATCTAAAAATGTGTTACAAAATACACTATTTGTAATACTTAAAATGTGTTTTTTTTTTTATGTCCATGCATCTTGACGTCGAGAATATTTGAGCATCAAAATAACTTCTACCGGTGAAATTTTTGAGGTAGGCTCTAATTTGATCGTTTAGAGAGCCTCGTATCAATACTAACTTTTTCCCTTTATTTATTGGGTGTGTGGTTTGTTAAGTCGCTCTCCCCTTAGCCCCCAAATATTATTAAAAGGTATAATTTGATGTTGACAACTTTTACAATGATTTGGAAAAGCTTTCTATACTTATTAGTTAAATAAATGGACAAGGATGAGGTTTGTATTTGTGGTTTGCTGCTTAATTATGAGTTTTTTCGTTAAATAAATCATTTAAGCCATTGCCATAGTGCACTTTATATATAGGCAATTGTGTCTTAATATGTTTGAGTTCTATTTTTATTTAAAAGCCACAAATTTGGAAAATGAAGATGTACCAATTTAAATCACAATTACTACGCCAAATTAGAGAGAGAGAAAGAAAGTGGCTCATGCCCCATACCCCATGGCCATGAGCACCTAGCCCAGCCCATACCCCCTCACCTTGGCCCTCTGCCCCATCAAACCTACAGTTCAACTATGGCCCAATTTTTCATAAGTGGAGCTCAAATTCATCTTTCATGCTGCTGGTTATGATTGAGTTCTACTCATTTACAACTTGGTAATCCATTATATACTTCCCCTTATTCAGCCATCCAATTTAAATGGAGGGCTGAGATGACCCAATCATAATGTCACGCTTCTTCACTATTTTATTTTATTTCCATTTTTTTCTACAAAATATTTTGACACCAAGGTGTTCACTCCTCTTTTGAACTTGTACCTACAAAACATATGGAAAAATATTTCTAGTAAAATAAAATGACTAAAATACCCATAAAAATTTTAAGAGCATTTTGGTTATTTTATTTTTTTTAAATTTTTTTTTAGTTGGGCCCATTGAGATGATGGCACATAACAAATTCATAAGGTTTAGGGTTAAGAGGTGATCCCAAGCATTTCTTGTGAGAATTGCTTTCCCATGGTTCATATCCTTGCTGCACACATCTGTTGAGTCTCTGTAAAGTAGAAGGTTGTATTTGAGGCGTGGAAGCGATAATTGTCAAGTGTTTGATGAAATGCTAAATGAATAGTGTCACTGAATTTTTCCAAGTGTCTATTGTATTATATTTTTATAACCTTTACTTACTCAAATGAGATGCTTTTTATCCTAATTTTGAGCTGTAAATCAAATCAGCAACTGTTTGTATCAGTCCCTGATTGATGTAAGTTCTATTCAAATATATCTGTAAAGCGGTGTAAAGCGCCATTTGTATTTATATTTTTAAGTGTGTATACCAAGGGAGAGGTCTTTAAACCTAACTACACCAAGCCATTCATAATCCATTGAGGAAAAGGGAGAGGTCTTTAAACCTAACTACACCAAGTCATCCATAATCCATTGAGGAAAAGAAGCCCCGGTGACCATTGCCAATTTGAAACCTCCCATGCTTCTTCGGAGAAATGTTCATGGATACAATGTGTTGCGAGCTTGGTAAGGCTCAGCCCAACTATGCGCTCTTTGCATGATTCCCATTTCCGAAAGGGAAATCCATAGAGCTCAATCTGTCCCTAAACATGCAAGGGAGAAAAGGGTATACCAAAAGTCTCCGCCAACCGCCAATTACGTCACCTATGATTGCTCTTTAGCAATAGATAGGGGAAGCAGTCTTCTCAGTTGCGCCGATCCAAACCTCCAAGTTGTCTTATGATTTCATCATAAGACAACTTTAGGATCCTGCACGCCTCTACTATTATACCACAAAGACTAAAACAGAGTAATTCATATAACGGCAAGGAGAAAGATGTTGAAAAACATCAAATATCTCCTTCACGATGTGTGGGTGACATTCAGAACAGTTGCATAGTACTTCAATTGAACCGCTTTACCCCTTGTAGGTTGATAATGGCTTAAGCAAAACTACAGAGCAACATGGTCCTTACGGCTAGTGCAATCACTAGAAGGTCTAGGGGTAAGGAAGGCCTCAAATCCCGGAAAATGATCAATAATAGAGTCCTACAAGGAAAGTACTTCTCTAACCTCATTAAGCCAGGGATCGTTTGGATACCTGGAAATATATTGTCTGTGAAATATATTACATGGCGTAATATATTACTGCGTAATATATTACTGCGTAATACATTACATGCAAATAGATTGTTACGGTTAGTATTTAGATACAACATGAGAAATATATCGCTACTGTTTTGAGAAATATGGGAAATTGTGGTACGGAGAGAAACAAAGTGAACCAAATTCAACAGCAGAAGCAACATAAACAAATTAACTTTAATGGGGATCACTACGTCACATAGGCAACTTATAGACAGAGTAAATTGGTTCAGTCTAGTGAGAAAAAGCCAAAAAAGAGAGGGAGAAAACCAGCTAATGGGAGAGAAGAACCCCTCAAATTGAATCAAAAGCAACACAGAACAGAGGATTAGAAGAAAGGGGTTTCTCAAAATTGATATTGAGATCTAGTCTTTATCTAATGAGGAAATCTCATAAATTTTCTGTAACAACCCATCAATCCAAATTCCTTTTGGATTGATGACAAAAATTAAAAACAATATAGAACATACCTAAAATTGCTTCAAGGCTTGAAGAGTGAGACATAATAATATTACTTCTAGGCTTGAAGAGTGAGACATAATAATATGAGAACTGATGGCTTCAGAAGAGGCAACAACCCAAATTGGACAGAAATGGATGTGAAAAGCAAAGTGTAGAAATGGATGTGTGATGTGGATGTGAACAGGAGTGTGTAGAAATGGATGCGTGCAGTATGTGTAAACACTTATAAGTGGAGTAGATTTGGATTGATTAATCAAATTAAAAACCAATTTAGAAAATACCTAAAATTTTTTCAAGCCAACTTAGAAGATACCTAAAATTGTTTCAAGGGCTTGAAGAGCGAGACATAATAATAAAACCAACTAGAACATACCTAAAACTGTTTATAAAACCAACTAGAACATACCTCAAATTGTTTCAAGGGCTTGAAGAGCGAGACAAAATAATAAAACCAACTAGAACATACCTAAAATTGTTTACAAAACCAACTAGAACATACCTAAAATTGTTTCAAGAGCAAGATATATAATAAGAGAGCTGGTCAGAACGCTACAACCCAAATTGGGGATAGAGGATGTAGAAATAGGAGAGTGTAGAAATGGATGTGTAGACGATGTGCAAAACACTAAGTGGAGTTTAAAGAAAGAAAGTATAAATAAATGTGAGCGGAGAAAGGGAGAGTGGATGTGAGCAAGAGAGAGGAGATCCTGCGCTTAGAAAGAGATCTTGTATAATTTATTTCCATTTTCTTATTATTGAAGTGTACCAAAATATGGTAAATATCATATTTCCTTGTCATAGGTTTCGTGTAATAGATTTTCAGGTACCCAAAGCCCATAATAAAAATTGTTTCGTGCGAGCTGGACCGCATGACTGCATATGCGGTCCAAAAAATATAAAGTGTCCATCTTAAAGATCGATGTAAGTAAGTGTTCCATCTAAAAACAAAAGAAACTAACGGTCTAAATGTTTTCTTACTAGAATTATTATTTCTAGTTTTTAAAAATTTACATGATGTTTTCATATTCATGATCTCCATGTTAGAGATTACATGTCCTTAAAAATTAACTCCAAAAACCTATCTCAAAAATAAATTTATTAATAAGCCTACATTTCTAGGTATGCGGGGGCTTGGCTGCATAGAAACTGGGTCCATCAGTTGCTAGTTTTATAGTTGTTGGGAAAGTAGATTCATCGTCATAAGAGCGTACTGATGAATATCATAGGTTGCTCGCAGAAAAGGAAATATCGGCTTTGATGGGAAAGGTAAATTTCTTGGTTTTTGGTTGTCCAATGAAACCAGTCGCCCCCTTAATTAATATTTTGCTTTTGTCCTTTAGGGGTGAAGTTTGTACAAGGCCCCTCCTTATTCTAAGGCATGTCTCTAAATTTTGTTTGGATGGCTTGAAATCTATTTTTATTTCTAGTTATGAAGTTGTAAATTTTAAAAAATAATATGAATGGAGCAAATCTATGAATATTTGAAAATTTTGAAAATAGACGGTTCGGATAATTTATAATAAGACGTACTAATTTTAGAATTTGAAATTTTTTATTTTTTATTTTTTCTATTTATATATTTTGAGGTCGAGATGAATAAATCGGAAGGTTTCTCAATGTTGGAATACTCTCATTTAGAGGATTTTTAAGGTGTAAGTCACTTCCATAGTATAAGGTTTGACACTCATGTTGAAAAACCTAGTTAGATCGGAACCGGTTTCAGGCGTTTGTGGTGATCGGTTGGTATTTTAAAAAAAAATAAACAAAATGTATATAAAATCCTAAAAATAAAGAATTTGGTTTGTAATACTTTTTTAATATTTTGTCCATTATAGTAAAGATTAGAAATTGTTTTGGTCATTAATACTTACTTTTATATTTTTACCTTTTTTTACGAAAAATACCCCCTAGGCACAAATGGATTCATTAATTTTAAAATCCATTTATTTCATTAATTTTCAACTTCATTTGAATGTGTTTTGTTTTAATCATTCTTTATGTATTTTTCATATTTTAGTAGATATTTTTTTTTTATCTTTTTTATTTTTTTTCAACAATTTTCTTTTTTTTAGTTGGGAGGTATTTGCTAGGAAACATAGTTTTGGGAAAAAAGTTGTTGACAAAATACTCCGTGAGGGTAAATTGTTTAGAAAGTACATATCCGGGGGGTTTTATGAAATTTACGCCATCTATTTACATGTGGGTCCCTTTTAAGAGATTTTCGATTCAAAACATAGATTCTGGGATCTAAAATTTCAGGATTTGTTAATCTCATTTATAAGGATAATCATCATTCAATAATTGTATTTTTTAAGAAAAAAATCAAAAAAATTTTTCTCTAGGTACCATTTTTTAATTTTCATTATTGAAAGCTTGATGATTAAGAAAGTCAGCTGACTCGCAGTAGTGCACTTGCTGTGAATAAAAGATGACGATCAAATAAAATCCATGATGATACCGACCCAAATTGAACGGGAACCACATATTCAGATTCTGTTTCACCAGAAGCCAAACTAATGGACTTCGATCCCCTTCTCCAACTAAAAAAAAATCCAGGGATATTATTACTTATGCACAAGGCCACATTTCTCTCTCTCTTCATCTGCTCAGTGCTCCAGGGATATCTATCTGTGTATTGATGATGGCCATTGCGGCTTCTACATTGCCACATTCGTATTCAGCTGCTTTTCCATATTCATTCACCCACTCTAAAAATCCCAATTTCCAACCCCCAACAGTGTTGGGGATTTGCTCTAAAGGCCCAAGATCTTATTGCCCATTATTCAGGCCTATAATCATTAAAAACGCAGCAACAAAGCCAGCAAAATCTCCAGGTAAGCTCTCTCTCTCGGTTTCAACATGAAGGTATGCTCTCTCTCTTAAGCTAAAATGGGTTGGCAATTAAAAAATCTTTCATAGAAAAGATAATGGAGTTTGTTGGGTTTTGTCCTGAGATGCAGCTGAAGAAGACTGGAAGGTCAAGCGTGAATACCTTCTCAAGAAAAGGGTACTTTACATTTCTTCTCCCTGAGGGTTTTATGGTGATTTGGGTTTGTCATAGTTTGTTTGGTATTTGCATGCGCAGTTTGGATGGAGGTTTCTTTGTAGTGCCCTGATTTTTTAGCAGCTCAGTGCGTGTGTGAGAGAGAGGGTGAATGAAGTTATGGAGATAAGTTTGATTCTACTAAGTGAAACAGCAGAAAAGAGTGAAAACTTTATGTGGTGGCTGTATTGCCCTTTCATTTTAGCGACAACCCATATTCACCATGGATTAAAAATGAAGCCCTTAGGTCATATATACAAACGAGTTTTACAAACATTCATTCAATTGAGGTTGTAGTTCTAAACATCTTGCTATGCAACTTGAACTATTACATATGAGTCCTCTTATCCAAATGGCTACCTGTATTATCATATAATCAGGATTACATGAACAGCTCATGTACAGGATCGTTGTGTTCCCCAATATGTGGGTTTTTTGTAATTGATAGGCTCGCGACGGATGCTACGTTGACAAAAAATTTTATCCATAATCGTACAACATAATTCTTGAAATCAATAGCAGTATTTTGGCAACATCTTAATTAAACCAGGGGCAGTCGGGTGAATATATGGTCCTGATAATTCATGATATTGGGTTCACTTCTAGTAGAGCTCCTAGTACCATGTTAGAGCAACTGAAGCAGTTATCTCAGGTTATTGGCATAATCAAATGATCGTGCACATATGATGTATGTATGGGGATGTACATGGTCATCCATCTGTCTATACAAATGGACGCATTGACAGATAAATAGATATTCACAGTTAGTGAATGCCTGAATGAGAATGTTTTTTTCTTTTTTCGGCTAGATCAACAAGGAGGATATCCTCTATTCGTGGTAGGAATGGAACTCAAAGACATCATGTTGTGGCACCACCATCCTGACCACCTATGCCTTAAAAGTCCTTCTTAGTTTTGGACAGAACTACATCAGTTGGATTCCTCACTTTTGGAAGGATGAGCATTGGATGTTATGTTGGTAACATAACATATTCCAATGACTTGATATCTGGTGATATATAGATTAACTTAAGTTGGATAAAGAAAAAGAGATGCCAATACAGTACTTGCAACTTGGTTATTTGCATTGAAAGACTGCCATTGCTTCATGAGGAACAACTGTGAAATGATAACTCGCATGAGTTGATCCATGTATGGAATTTTAATTGTCGAATTGCTAATATAATTTAGTTTATTTTTCATTTCTTTTTTGGTGTGTGAAAGTCTTATTACTTTAAAGGCTCTGCCTAGAAATGCCAGAAACTTTTGTCAGCATATTTGTTTTAATTTCTTTCCCGGCACAATCATCTTCCTAGTGGTTGTTGCCAATTAGGTTTTCAAGAATTTTATGGTTAATTTATTAATTATTTGTACTTTGCAGGTCCGAAGTGTGGATGTGAAGGAAGCGTTGCGCCTTCAACAAGAAAACGGCTTTGTGATTCTAGATGTGCGTCCTTCTGCAGAATTCAAAGAGGTTCAACTTTCGCTTGCTCATTGCATTACATCAAAGCATCTTCAAGTTTCTAAATGTCTTCATATAAAACTATACATCTGATTAAGATGATGTGGAGTCAAGCATCTTAGAATAGCTATCTTATAATATTCAAAGATGCTCATCAACTATTCCTTTTCATGGTTATCAATACTGAATTGAACAGGTGGTCCAACCGGTCAGACCATCAACGCCTTAGTTGTTTTGGTCCAGAATAGAAACTAGGTTTGGTAAAAAATAAGTGAAAAACATTGTTTGACCAGTCCAACAGGCCAGTTTTGACCGGTTTGATGGGCTAAACAAAGTTGGAAACTTTTTTCTAATATATTTTATATTTTTAAACTCTTAGCTATATTTTTCTAATATTTTTAGTATCCAGTAAAACCAATTCGATCTGCGGTTGGACTAATTTTTTACTACACCAAACCCCTCACTAGTTCAATGTTAAGTATAGTCCTAATAACCCTAGGTTTTTTAATAGCATTCATGAAAACCAGGTGATAACCATTATTGAATTGTATTAATATCATGTCAAGTTTATTATTTGAAAAAGTTAAAGTATTACGAAATTATATACAAGGTTTTTTTTTTTTAACCTATCCACATATGTGCAAATGTGATAAAGGAGGTTTGGATATTTGATGCTATTTTAGGTGTATTATTAAGTGCATATAATTGTGTTTGGCAAGACCTGTACCATCCATTGAAATGTTTTATTTCCCAAGAATATGTGGCTCCTTAATTGAGTTGTACCCACTTATCTTCCATCTCGGTTATTTTCAAGTTTCTCTTCTTGGACAATGGTTTAGATGCAAAATAAAGATGGGAGGTCAGTGGGTCATGTTGGTCGAGAGAGCTGGCCTAAAAGAGTTGTTCAATTGAGTTTTGTTAAGGTTTAGAGAGGTAATTCTATATCCCATAATCTATGATGTGCTTTGATCAGTATAGTGGATTTTAGTTTATCGTGCCCACAGATGTAGCCCCATTTAGGGTGAACCAATGAACATCATAGAATCTATGTGTTCTTATATTTATTTTTCTGCTTTCTTTTGGCATGTCGACATTAGCGTTGTACACGCCTATTTTGTTTTTAGCCAATTAGTACACACCAGAAGACCCAATATTATGGATTCATGTTTTTGTATACAAGAGAGTTCTTAAATATCTTACAAGTGGTATCAGAGCGTATGGTTCAATACATGAGTAAGATTTGTGTTGAGAGGCAATGCCTTCCCGTCTATATGTGAATCAAAGAAAAAAAATACCAAACCTACAAGAAATAAAAATACAAAAATTTGCAAGATATCAGAAACAAACCAGACGCCAAGATTTACATGGAAAACCCTTCAAAGAAGGGAAAACCGATAGGGCACCACTGATGAAATCCACTATACATAAAATAGTTACAATAGTTCTTCCCAAATTGACTGACCGTAGCCTAAGGATTAGGAACAATAAAAATAAGAAAAATACAGGGTTACCTTCGTGGGAACTATTTCATCTTCCTCCACTTCTCAAAAGCATAACTTCTTTCCAACCTCTATTGGAGAACGCCTGCTTCAATCATTTGGAAAGCTCCAAAACTTTGGAGATTTTTGGAAGGAGAACCCTCTATAATTTTTCTGCACATCAAATAACTCTAGGGAGAAATAAAAGATTTCAACCTCTCTCTGTAATTTTTTTGGTTCACCTCTCTCTAAAAGTTAAGAAAGACTCCTTTCTATGAGGAACCCTAATTATTATAATTTTTCTGTTTCTCAAAAATAGCCTTTTAATTTTTCTTTCCCAAAAAATAGGCCCCAACCTCATGGGGCTAGAAGTCTATGGACTTTGGGAAGAGTCCATAACAATTGTGCATTTAATATATAAATAAAAAAATTCATATGGTGAAATATGAAAGTGTTTTGTTTAAGGTGGAAAAATATGATAGTAAGCACAATCATTTCCATCAAGAATAACAAAGATCTATTTGGCAAAACGAAAAAAATCATTCAGCTATTCAATGGTGTTGGTGAAAGAAAGACCAATGTGATCTTGCCGGGGACT